TTTTCTCAAGAACACGAATTGATCTAGTAAATCTGAGTATGAGGCGTGGTTCGTGTGGCCAACAGCTACCAAACCTGATTTATGCGCACTCTAGAGTTTTTCTTGTGTTCCTCATTGTTATATGCAGTGCTTTGAAAGCAAACTCGAAAGAAGTGAGTAAAGTTATTCAGATTTCAATTATTTTCTTATGAGTAAACAGTAAATACTCAGGATCTGATTAATCACATTTTTTGATTAATCGGGATTATGATTAACTAAAAATGTATTTAATCGATAATTCGCTCCCTAAAAAAGGGTATGCATACATCTATGGCCAAAATAATAGAAACACATTATTTTGACTAGTTTTGATTTTTTTTATTTAAAATCAATTAATTTTTTATGAATGTTTATATACAGTGGTGGAAAAATAAATAGGGACACGACATTTCAACAAATTTTGCCTACTTTTCTTTTGTTTATTTATTATATATATATTTTTTTTTTATAAAAGTATAGCTCATTATCGTAACAAAAACCATATAAATTAATATTTACAATTTTGTGCAAAAATTACGAAAATTCTGCACACTTGCTTCTAAATTTTCAACTTTCCAAAAAGATTTTTCAGAATTTTTTTGAGTATGCAGTTTTATAGCCCAATAAATTTAAGTAGAATAAAATACAAGTTTGAATTTCCTAAGAAATCGCGTTGATTTTTGAAAATTTTTATTCTGAATGTATTACCCACTTTTGTCCGTACAAAAAAAGAAAAAAATGGTCGAACATACTTTGTATGGAAGAAAATGCGCTAAAAAAAAATTGCAAAAATCAACGCGATTTTTTAGCAACTTAAAATTTACACTTCATTCTATTAAAATTTAATGGGCTAGAAAACTGCGTACTCAAAAACTTTAAAAAAAAATCTGATAAAAAGGTGAAAATTTAGATGCAAGTTTGCAGAATTTTTATAATTTGTGCACAAAGTTTGAAATATGAATCTATATGGTTTTTGTTAGATAATGAGCTATAATTTTATAAAAAATAATAAATATTAAATAAACCAAAGAAAAATAGGCAATATTTGTAGAAATGTCCTGTCCTCATTTTTTTCCACCACTGTACCTAACAGCAATCATGGAAGTCTAAATTTAGTTTCATCAAAATTGTAAAGTTTTTAACCCAGATAAAGGTTAGAAAATTTTTTGATACGCAGTTTTATATGCCATTAAATCTAGGTATAATAAGGTGTAAGTTTGAAGTTGCTAAAAAATTACGTTGATTTTTGATATTTTTTTGCTGACGGTGTTATACGATGTTTCCACGCTTCGTAATTCCCTCTCTAAGTAATTCGTGAATTACCCTGTTTCCACAACACATATTAGGAACTCGTTGGGCAGCTCTATTTCATGTTCTTGTTCTTCGCTATTTATTATTATTTTTGTGTACTGAAAATATCGAAGATGCAGCAAAAATTTTATTCATCAAAGATTTTAATATTAATATATATGTATATATGTATTATAATACTAATATATTCCGATAAATATTAAAGAAGGCACCGATTCGTTCGTAATTAATTAATTCCCTCTCAAAATTTTGTATAGCGAATTACGTAATTCGAAGGGTAATTGGATGGCGAATGACGAATGAGAGAGCGAATTACGAATCAGAGTGCGAATTACGATGCGTGGAAACGTGGTATTACGCATTCCCGGCGGGGATGACATTGCTGTAAATGTTCTTAAGGAAATAAAAGATAACTGTAAAATGCAAAACTGAGAGTCAGTACAAAACTGTAACATTTGCCCTAATTTACATTTTTTTTATTGTTGTTGTATTGAATTCAAATCGTTATGAGAAAGGAAGTGGGTGGGGTGCACCAACAAGAATCGAATGAATCGGATGAAAATCGTTAGAACTAGAAAATATAGCGGTGGCTGAAATAAAAAGTGTTACACCATGTTACAGTTTTGCTCGTCACTGTATGTACTTATTTTAAAATTAAATGGTTTCAATTATAGACGTACAGTGGTGGAAAAATAAATAGGGACACAACATTTTTTCAAATTATGCCTTTTCTTTTTTTTTATTTAATACCTATTATTTTTTTTATTAAGTTATAGCTCATTATCCAACAAAAACCATATAAATTCATATTTCAAACTTTGTGCAAAAATTATAAAACTTAAATTTTCAACTTGTTAATACTTGTTAATCAGATTAAAAAAAAAAATTTTTGAGTATGCAGTTAAATTTTAGTGGAATAAAGTGCAAGTTTCAAGTTCCTAAAAAATCGCGTTGATTTTTAATAATTTGTATTCTGAATGTGCATTAGTCGAAGCAAAAAAATTGTCGAACATACTTTGCATGAAAGAGAATGCATTAAAAAATTAACAAAAATCAACGCGATTTTTTAACAACTTAAAACTTTTTCACTTCATTCTACTACAATTTATAACAATAAAATAATAATAGATTGGCACTTACACATATGTTAGTGTTTGGCCGAGCTTCTCCTCCGATTTGTGGCGTGTGCCTTGATGTTGTCACACAAAGGGGAGGGAAATACAGTTTTACGCCGACTCCGAACGGCGATTGTATTTTTATGAGAAGCTGTTTTTCATGGCAGAAATGCACTCGGAGGTTTGCCATTGCCTGGCGAGGGACGACCGCTGTTAAGAAAAAACCTTTTTTCTATATTTTTTTGCGATGTTGCGGAGCGGAAGCGCGCACTGCTTACCACTACACCACAGCGGCCTCCATTAGGCGTTTTAAAAATTGTATTATGGTGCGCAAATGACCAATTTTAGTTATTGTCCCAAGAAAGAAGACTCGCAAGAAAACACACTTCTTACCCCTTCTTCTTACTTAAGGGAAATATGAAATTTTGACATTCATGTACCGAGGCAAATCAAATCAGCTGTTCCAGCAACACCACCTTATATAAATTTGTCTTGATATTGAGCTTGAACTTTTTTTATAAAAAAAAAATAATAATAAGTATCTGTAACTTATAATTAAAATTAAAATTTTAAGTTAAAAGAGCAATGGCTGCAAAGGCCTTAAGTTAACTTCTGTGTTGAACCGGCACACGAAAAAAGTGATTTAACCAGACCACCTACCGACATGTACATCGAACCGCTAAATCCGAGTGTGAAGTCCGTTTGACTCGTACACTCTCAGAATTTCGAGTAAATTGCGAAAAACCAATGCAATTTTCCAGTAATCTGCCAGCACCCCATTTTTTTTTATATATTGCTGAGTTTCCACTGGGCATTACATGACGAATGTTGACCATTAAAAAATACCTTTACGTTCGTTGAAATAGTCTTTGTCTCTTTTCACACGGCTTTTTTTTTAACTTGCATACAATTGAAAATAACAATTTTCATAAGATTTCTTTAAAACTTTTGTTTCCTTACACACTGTTATATTTATTTTTTTCTTTTTGAATATCAAGTTGTTAGCGCTGTGCAGCAAATGAAAATATCTACACAAAATGTAAGTCCGAATGCATCAGTGGGTGGCACCCAAACGTTTCAACGCAAGACAACCAGAATATACAAGTGTATTTCATGCGATTATAAGACATCTGATATGCGATTATTTAATACACATTATGAAACATGCAAATCACAAAATTTCCAGTGCAAGAATTGTAAGAAAATCTTCCCGAACTTTGGTAGCATGAAACAGCATATGGTGCGTGAACACAATACCACTATGGATAATACCTGTGCAGTTTGTCATATAAATTTTGTAAATGAGCCAGCTTTGCGAAAGCATATGGAAGCGAATCACAGCACAAATGTTGTAGTAACAAGTACGACGACACTTCCATTAACACAGCAGTCCGCAGCAGAGGCGGCGAGTACAACAGGCGCCACCACACCACTTTATACATGTAACCATTGTCAATTCAAATCCACAGACAAAGCGCTCTTTGATGAGCACTTCAGAAAGCATTTGTCTGGTGTAAAGCCCAAACCGTTTAAATGTCGGCTATGCGCTCAACGCTTTGAGACGCGTGAAGCTGCTACTGTCCATGCTAAACAGCATCAGCCGAACTACTTCAAATGCGGCACCTGCGCCATGTCCTTCCCAAAACGCGAATTGCTAGTTAAGCATTTCGAAGTGCATCAGCAGTCCCAGCAACAGCAGCAGCAGCAGCCGACCACAACCGCTACAGTTGTACAACATCAACAAATCGTTACACAATCTGCGCCAATAGTCAAACAGATAACAACCAAACAACAGCAAGCGACGTCGCAAAATATTTTGACTACACAGAAGTTATTGCAAGAAACCATCGACGAGGCATTAAGTGACAATACAGTAAATACCGTTGTAAGCAGTGCTGCTAACACAGATGTGTTGCCTACCGCAGCCAACAACATACGTTTCTTTTCGTGCCACATCTGTTCTCTTACATTCATACAAGAAAATTATTATAATCAACATATGGAAGCGCATCGTCAGGACAAGGAAGGCGGCGTTGGTAGTGGTGGAAGTAGTGGTACTACAATTACCACTTCATCGTCATCGGGTTCGGGTGGTAGTATGCTACATCCGAGTGCTGCTGCATTACTTAGTGACGACAACAAAGGTGATGGCGGCGACAGTGGTGATCTGTCATCGCACCAAGGTGGCGGTAGCGGCGTGGAAGCTGACATTGAAAGCATTTTTGAGAAAATGCATTCCGATAAAAATGATAGCGCTGGCGATACGTTAACAACATCAGCTGCCAATACCGCAACAACTACAAATACCACATCTGCGACTGGACAAAGCAGTAGAGACAGTTTGGTTATCACATCACAACAAGGCACGGGTGGTATTACATTTAATATTACTATTCCACAGCCAGAAACTGGAACTACACAAGAGGCAAGAGATGTGAGTATTTTGCAAAATAGTTTATTAGGTTATCTTACATTTTGAAGTGAAACTTCGATAAAAATGTGGCACATGTGATGCAAGGAAAGGGCATCATCTCTCTTTATTATTCCTCCGCTATATTAATATAGTAGGTACATATGTCTAAATTTTTATATTTCCTATTTCACCTACTATAAATTTATAATCATTTATGGAATATGCAATGAGATTAATAATTTGTTTTGTATCAAATAAAATACGCTAAATTTTGTAAGTATATATGTATATATATTTCAAGCCAATAAGATATTCTCAGCTCCCATTGTCTTCATATCAGAAAATTTATTCCGTGCGTACACCAAATCAAGAGAAGTTTCACTTACGTAGTATGGCCCTGTATTTTTCTCCATTAAAGTCGTATATCGTCATCATCAATGCAAAATGCTCTACTTATTTGATATTTTTTCAAATGATCGTCTTTTGTATTTATGGTGACGATATCGTAATATAAGTATTGCATCCTTGGATTTACTCATAAACTCTTGGTTACTCCGTTGCAGAGCTCTAAATCTATACCGACAAGCACTGCGCCCGTATCCGTGAGCATAGATATGCCAGTATTGGACCAACCTGACGAAGGCTTAACCCCAACGGCAGTTGGAAAATCTGAAGGAAACAGTGGAAAAGAAAAGCAAGTCAGTGGTGGTAGTATAGGTGCTGATAGGAAAGTGTCTGCCCCTGTTAGCATGCCAAGTTTAGATGATGATAACGATACGCAGGAGCATATGCAATCACAATCAGCGCAGGAAGATAAACCCTCGTCGGAAGCAAAAAAAGGCAGTGACTCAAACGAAGAAAATGCGAGAACTGCTGGAGCAAAACAAGAAAAGGCTGAACAATCTTCTAAAGCGGAGGGAGCTGAATCAGCCTCAGGAAAGGGGGCAAGTGCTGCTGCCGCGAGCGCTTCAGATGCTAATGGCGATGTCCAATCGGACAATACCGCTGCTGGCGGTGAAGGAGAAGGCGACCATCATCAACAAGTTTCAATGGAATTAGACGAGGCCATGCAAGCGCAAGTGGAGGGCGGTCAAATCAAGTTCATACTTAATGAAAATGGTCAGCTATTGCAACTGGATAATCACATCATTACCGATGCTGATGGCAACCAAATACTGGTACAAGATCCCGAGCAAATCCAACAGCTTCTGCAAAGCGCCGGCCTATTGCAATCTGGCGACGGGCTTGATGGTGAAACCTTACAAATGATGACGGATGCTAATGGTCAGATGGTTTTGGTGCAGGGTGAGAACAATGAGACGCAACTGATCGATGCTTCACTTCTGAACGCCGACGGACAATTGGTAATACAACAAGGACACGATGGTGAACTAGGCGAAGGAGCACATGTTATTGGTGAAGACGGCACGCGGATACCTGTTTCGGTATC